ATACATTCTTTGGCAGCCAATGCTACTGCTATCATTTTCAGTGTAGTAGTCTCTAGTGGCTCTGAGTCTCCTAGTATGCATAAATAGGAGCAGTGCTAGAGTTCAGTATAAACAAGGAACCTTTACCAGTCACTACACACTGGCTGCATTGTAGGTAGATCCCTCACAGAAGCCTTTTCCTGGACTGACATGGGCATAAAGGTACTGTGAGACTGGACTCCACTTGGTCTTGAAATATAAGCACAGTGAAACACTGGCTTAGAAAGTATACAAAGGCCATGTAAAAAAGTTTAAGTGCTGCTCTGGAAAAGCAGCTAACAATTTGAGCTGAGTGCATGGAAAAATGGTTAGTAGCCATAACCTTAGGGGATTTTCTAGCTGTCCCTGGGCAGCTTTTTATTTCACTTTCTCAGGCATGGCCTAAATCCAGTAACTTTTACCGGAAAGGCAAAATCATGCCTTGAATGGACAATACATGCAAGTGCAGCTTCCTGACAGACCTGTGAAATTCCGATTGTATTCCGGAGTTTCATCATTCATGGATCAAGTTAATTATAAAAAGATTGTGTAAAACTACAGTTCACCTCAAAAAATCTAGCAGGCGTCTTCTGATGTCCTTTCCCATCCTTGAGATAGAGACCTGACATGATACAATGTAGCTTAACACGTTAATTAAGCAATAAAATGCTTCTCGTTTTCCTCTTGCTTGCTCAAGGGGAGTTTGCATTAATTTGTATCCTTAGCAAGGAGTATAACTTAAACTCTCAAGATTGAACAGAAGTGACACAATTCTTTATAAATGATTGAATTGGATGCACCTTTTTAAAAATATGATGGTATCAGATAAAGCTAATTTATACACCAATTATATTTTAGTCTTTATAATGTATATTGAAATAGATAGTAAAATTTTAGAATCCCGTATTTTGAAATATAGTAGAGTCTCAGGGTATAGACTGAATACAGATAAAATTTAGTTCTTTGTTTAAATATGGATCTTTTGTGTGTATTAAGTGCTGTCAAGTCGCTTCCAGTTTATGGCAACCCTATGAATTAATGACCCAAACATCCTATTGTTAACAGCCTTGCTCAGGTCTTGCAGACTGAGGTTTGTGGCATCCTTTACTGAGTCAATACATCTTACGTTGGGCCCTCTTTTCCTGCTGCCTTCAACTTTCCCTAGCATTGTTTTCTTTTCTAATGACTCTTGTCTTCTCATAATGTGATCAAAATATGATAGCCTCAGTTTAGTCATTTTAGCTTCAAAGGAGAGTTCAAGCTTGATTTGATATAGAACCCACTTATTTGTCTTTTTGGCGGTCCACAGGATCCATAAAATTCTCCTCATACGCCACATTTCAAAGTACTCAACTTTCTTTCTGTCATCTTTCTTCATTGTCAGACTTTCACACCCATACATAGTAACAGGGAAAGTCATAGTATGAATTACCTTGATCATGGTCGCCAGGGGCACATCCTTACACGGTCAAGATCACAAAATCTCCTTGTCCCCCCGGCCCAAAAGATGCCAGGCTGGCCACAGCCAGGGCGAGAGCTTTCTCGGTAGTGGCCCCACTTTGGTGGAATGAGTTCCCAGAGGACATCAGGGCCCTCTGGGATTTATACAATTCCGCAGGGCCTGCAAGATGGAGCTCTTCCACCAAGCATTTGATTGGGGTGCCGTGTTTAATCAGCTCAACATCAACCAAGGAACCAGTACCCTGTAATACATCTTTGGCTGTCTGCCTGTTTTGGTGCTTAACATGTATGCCCACATTATATACGAGGCCTGATGCCAGTTCATATCTAATGCTGATCAGATTCTCTGTGGTGACAATTAAGGACAGTTAATTCACCATCAAAAATTGTAACACTTTATGAACTGTTAAGATTTTATTTTGTTCTGTTTTAAACTTGTATGATATTTGTGGATCTGTAAGCTGCCCTGAGCCTGCTTTGGCGGGGAAGGATGGGGAAAGAAAGAAAGAAAGAAAGAAAGAAAGAAAGAAAGAAAGAAAGAAAGAAAGAAAGAAAGAAAGAAAGAAAGAAAGAAAGTTCTCTAGCTGCTTCATAGCTGCCCTTCCAGTCTCAATTACCTTCTGATTTCTTGGTTACCGTCTCCTTTTTGCTGGATGATGGAGCCAAGGAATAGAAAATCTTGAACAATTTCTTCATCATCAACCTCAAAATTGTACAATTCCCCAGTAGTCATTACTTTTATCTGCTTGATAATGAGCTGCAATCCTTTTTGCTTTATCCTTGTTTTTGCTTTAACCTTCATCAGGAGTTGTTTCAAGTCTTCACTGTTTTTCTGCCAGTAATATGACATTCTCTGCATATCTCAAATTGTTAATGGTCCTTCCACCAATTTTCACTCCACTTTAATCTAAATCTAATCCATTTTCTTTATCACGTGTTTTACATCTAGATTGAAGAAACAGAGAGATAAAATACATCCTTGTCTGACACCTTTGCCAATTGTGTTTACTTACATTCTGTCCTAACAATAGTCTCTTGTCTAAAGTACAGGTTGCGCATCAAAACAATCAGATGTTGTGGCACACCCATTTCTTTTAAAACCAACCATAACTTTTCATGAACATGGAGAAGGGTCGCCCACATTTATTGAGAAAAAAATGGTTACAGTCCCACTAAAACTATGGTCTTGGGTAAAGAAACTAAGGCATTGTTATAATAATAATGACAGTAGGGTGATAAATGTCATACTCAGCAAATGGGACCAATAAAGAATAAGCTATCATTCAAAATTTCCCCTTTAGGCTTTGTAGTTAGAAACATAATAGATTAGCATGGTTTAGGTTTTTTTCCACTTAAGAAAGTGGGAATTGATTGCAACTAACATGCACAGAGATTTGATTATAAACAAACAGGTGATGTCATATTACAACATTAAAGACCCTAGTAACCGAATATCAGCGATTCAAAGGTTATCTCTATGTTATGTGATAGGTTATGTGTGATATGTTACAAAAAGATTTTTACAACCTATGTTGTAATTTAGGCAAATGCTAACTATGTATGAAGAATACCTTTCTCTTGAACCTGTATACCATTTTGTTGGATGTACTACTTAAACACAATAATAGTTTTCTTAGGATGGTAACCCAGTCCTGAGGGCTACTGTGACAGAGGCAGCTGGCTGTCGGCAAAACAGAGAGACGCTGCTGGTCAGCTCCCTATGGACATTCTGCAGGGGGGCAATAACAACACACACCCCTCTGTAAGGTACAGCTGGCATAGTAGATGCACCGGAGTCCATAGCAACCCTAGCAAGCACCCACTAATCAGGCAGCAGCACCCCACTGAGGGGCACAAACAGGCGCAGCCAGTCACTGCCTACCAGTCCAGCCACTGCACCTTGATGCCACTCCTTCCCCAACAGAAAGCCACCAGACAGGGAGGAAAAACCCAGTGACATTGGAACCTCTCAAGGAATGTAGCCAGTGCACACACACCCCAGCCCATAGGGGAAGGGCACCCATGTGGTAGACAGGAGGCCCACCCCACCCCCAGCAAAAATGTCCACATGCAACCATCCCTGCTCTGAGCCACACACACCTTTCCCATGAAAAAGTTTTTAAAAGACGTCAAGCTAAAACCCACAGCCCCCAAACCGAAGACCAGCATTCTAACCATTGGATCTGATATTTTGCAATGGTGTCCAAGGGAGGTGGTTTGGCAGCCACTGGGGAGGGGGAGTGATTGGTTGCTCTAGTTGACATCATGTGTTATGCCAGGGCTTATAGGTGGAGATACACATGTTAGTGGGGCACTTTCTCTTTTCTGGGGTATGCCCACCTATGGGCTACACAGTGGTTTTTGCTGACATAACTTTCCACCTGGTCTGAGTTGTGTTCCCAGGCTAAGACGGCTTAGGGAGCTAACTAAGTCCTGCCACGCTCCTGGGTCTGCCTCGTTTCCTGCTGGTGCAGCGTTGTTCCCCATCATTGTAAGATGGCTACCTATATGCTTTTGGTCCCTCCCTCAGGATTGCCCTGTTAGCTGCCTTTCTACCTTATGGAACTCAAGGGTGGCTTACGATGTAAATAGAACATAAAACATACGTATGTCTGTTAGAGAAGGCAGACTTGTTCCCACATGTGGTGAACTTGTAAATAGGCAACAGATTACTGGGAACAAGTTACAGAAAGTATATCAGTCAGACTGGAGAGATAGATTTCCTATAAGCCAAAGATCTTATTTTAAAATTGTGTGTTTGATATGCCTGGAGATCCTGAAGCAGTAACTATACATATTGCCACGGCTAGACTGGTATTTGCTAAAAACTGGATGCAAAAAAATAGGCTTCAGACTCATGACTGGCTGATGAATGTAAAACAGAACCACATGCTGGGGAAACTAATGGCCTACCAACCAATGTTCCTTCTAAGCTGTGGAGTCTTGTGAGCAAAAATTCTACTTTGTGAGCTACTGGCATTAAAGTTGGGAGCGAGCGATTTGGCTCCTGCATAAATTAGTTTGCTCTGGAGCCCTCCTTCCCGAGATAAAACAAAAATCTGTGAGCAGGAGGCTAAAAAACTGTGAGCTAGCTCACACTAACTCAGCTTAGAGGGAACACTGCTACCAACAAGACAAAGACACTTCCAAGATAGACTCATTACAGTCAAGGGTTGTTCAGTGAGTGGAAAATGAGAGAAAGGTTCTTAATTTCACAGGATTTTTATGGCTTGGGTAGACATGCTTGCCTTGTACCTATTATGTATACTCTTTTTACTATGTATATATTTTATTGTATCACATAAGTATTTTAAAAAATTTAATATGTTGTCTTTGAGCAAGAAATGCCCTCTGAGCACAAGAAAAAAAAAAATCCTGAACCAAAATGTGAATTATCTGTCAGAAAAAGTTTTCTTAGCACTTGACTTCACAGTACTTTATTTTTAACTTATGAATATATCACACAAACCAATTATAGCATAGGCTTTTCATTCTTCTCTTCACCACTCCCTCTCCAACAGGAATATTTGGTTATCTGAACTACAAAGTGCCTCGGACCAGGAAGGAGATATTTGAGACTCTAATAAAAGGACTACAAAGACTAGAATACAGAGGCTATGACTCTGCAGGTATGTAAACTATCTTGTTGTACATATTAATGTTTGCAGTTACTTACCGCCTTATCACCACTTCCAACCCAAGCATTTTTATAGCATGTGAGGGTGGAAGTCTGTCACCCTCATTTCCCTCTCTTCCTCATGACGTTTAGTTCATCACAATGCATGATGATACACCACAGGTTGTACATTGCCCAACCCCTGCCTCACATCGTTAGTTGTCCTTGAACACAACAATGTATGAAGTTGCCTTTGTCATGTTAGACTGGTGACCTTCAACCTTTTCAGACCTGGGGCTATGCAGAAATGGGGACCCACTGCACTGCAAGCTTATGACGTCAGAGAGGATATCTGAGTCATATGACAGGAAGAGGAGGAACCAGAGTATCTGCACCTGCCTGTGCTAGAAAAGGAAACTTCTGCACATCTAAGTAACCTTGTGGAACTTATTGTCCCAGTGCTCCTCTTGATGTGGGTGCAAAAGGAGGCAGAACGTGTGGCATGCTAATCTCTACACATGTGCCTTAGCAGCAGAACCTTCTAAAAGGAAAGGAAAAAAATGGTAGTTCTATAGGTCTTCGCTACCCAGCAGATAGGGCCTTGTGGCTACCTGAGGGTCCCAACTTGTGAGATGAAGATCAGTGTGGTAGATAAACTGGCCATTTATTCCAGTTCTTCTGCTCTCCAAGTTCTCAGGCACAAGTCTTTTCAAACCCTGCTACCTCCTTAACCAGAAGCATTGAGGAACGTCCCTAAGCCTATCAACGTGCAAATCATATTTCTTTCATTTCGTCCATTACCTCCCCCTGCTGCTGACATTAAAATAGTTGTTAGGAGGAATGAAGGAGAGAAGTGATGGTGTAGTGGCAGCCCTGTGTTTCTGTGCAACATCTAACTGCACCATTGCCCTCTAATAGCTCAGCTATTTCAGAGGACAATCCCAAGTCATCCTTAGGGTTAAAAAACAAAACCCTAAAAGGATCATGTTCTTTTCTTTACTGTGCAGAGAACATAGTTGCTACTAAAGAAATGTGTGAGAGTAACACTTTCAACTTCAGATGTCACACATCCTGAATCACTTTAAATTAACTATTTTTCATTTTGGGTTCATCTTTTTTCATTCTTTAGAGGGCCATGACCTGCATAGCCCAGGCTAGCCCAATCTCCTCAGATCTCAGAAGCTAAGTAGGGTCAGCCCTGGCTAGTATGTGGATGGGTGACCTCCAAAGAATACCAGGGGCGTGATGCAGAGGCAGGCAATGGCAAACCACCCCTGAAACATCTCTTGCCTTAAAACCAGGTCTAATTCACCACCTAGTGGTGCATAATGCTAAAAGAGCTATAACTTCTGGCTGCAAGTCAATCTTAGGATCTCCTGGCTATACTACACACACTACCTGTGTGATGATGATGATGATGATGATGATGATAGTAATAATTCTTTAGAGACCTAATAATATAACTGAATCTGTGGCAATCCATATTTAAGATGTAAAATCTGTAGTCAGTAGCAGTGTACCTTAGATGTTGTTGCTGTGCTTTGGAGGTGATTATGAAAAGCTCAGTGTAATTTAATATTCATTAAGGTAATTTCTGTAGCTTCTACTTAGGTGACTTCAGAAGGTCTTGTGTCCAATAGCATTTAATAATGATGATTGAACAGGAAAGAAAGTTTATTTCTTTGAATGGTAACTTTGAACTTGACTTAAAGCAAAAATAAAACTATTGAAGACATAATTTAGTTTTAGGCAAAACCTGTCATCTAAACATACATCTCACTGTGCAAATAGCATTACCACTTCCAAGTAGTTCTCATATAACCTACATGAGGTTGTACAACAAGGTGTTCTGTGTTTCAGGTGTTGCAATTGATGGAAATAATAATGAAGACAAGGAAAGGTATATCAAATTAGTCAAGAAAAGAGGAAAAGTCAAGGCTCTTGATGAGGAGCTACAAAGTAAGTATAAAAAGAGTTATTTAGGTCTGACATTTAGACTGACTTTGAGCATACTTTTACCTAGAGCTACCATTTCAGTGGTAGATTCAGGTGGGTAGCCATGTTGGTCTGAAGCAATAGAACAAAGTTTGAGTGCAGTGGCCAACAAAGTTTAATTCTGGGTATAAGCTTTTGTGTGCTTGCACATGAAAGCTTATACCCAGAATTAAATTTTGTTGGTCTTAAAGGTGCCACTGGACTCAATTTTTGTTCCATTTCAGTGGTAGTTACGATCCAGGGATGCGAACTGCAAACCTAGAATTGATTTTTTATAATACCCAGAGCTGCTGTGAACATTTTCCATCCCATATCAGCATGGCACCAACTAGTTGTAAATGCTTTTTAGTAGATCAATGCTTTGTTCTGACAAGACAGAAGTGCTACTAGTGGGCAGAAGGTCTGACCTGGGATTTAAGGCATCATCTGCTCTAGATGCATTCCCCATAAAGGAACAGGTCCCATAGTCTGGGGGGGTGATCTTGGAGCCAGGGCTGCTGCTGGATAAGTGGGTAGCAGCATGGACAGGAATCTGGTTTGCCAGCTGCAGCCCTTCTGCCAGTGGGTGAAGGCGTATCTGTTTCTTTTGGCATTCCATAGTTACCCCTCTTTCCTGACCAATATTTTACTTGCTGTTTTTATGTGTTTGTATATATTTTAACTTTGCTTTTAATTGCTTTTGGTGTAGTGGTTAGGAGCCAGTTTGGTGTAGTGGTTAAGTGCATGGACTCTAATCTGGGAGAAACGGGTTTGATTCCCCCCTCCTCCACATGCAGCTGCTGGTGTGACCTTGGGTCAGTCATAAGTTCTTTCAGAGCTGTTCTCTCAAGGGTGTCTGTTGCGGGGAGGGGAAGGGAAAGGAATTGTAAGCTGCTCTGAGACTCCTTTGGGTAATGAAGGGCGAGGTATAAATACAACCTCTTCTTCTTGTCATCTTCTTTCACGATGTGTGTGTATTTTGGGGGAGCTGATTTTAAAGTTTTTAAAATGTTATTGTATCATGTATGTTTTAAATTGTTAGCTGCCTTGGTGGCCCTTGTGAGGATAGAGAGGCAGGATATAATTTTTGTTAATAAACAAATAGATAAAAGCCTGAGAGAGTGACACTGTAGAGTGCCTTTTCTGCTTCTGTCCAAATATACCACAGCCCCTTGCTGCCACTGCCACTTGTGTCATGTGTGTGCCATCAATTGGCCAAAACTGCATAGTGTGCACTGCAGAAGTAAATAACAGATTGGAGAGAGAAGGACAGACTTTGAAGTGTACTATTGATGTGACGTCTGAGTTGTCTGAAGCAAGATTTTTCTTACGTTATGTGGAAAACAGCAATATTGCATACCATTTGTTAAGCAGCACAAAATCATGTGTTTTTACAGCTTCCCTTTATTAAAGTGCTTACCAGTCACTTTTTTGCACATCAAACATACTTTTGCCCCTTTACTACACAGAGTCTAGACAGCTTCCCCATTATTTGAATTTTTCCAGTATTTGATATATTGTGTTTTGTTGCTAGGCAAATGTGAGTCATTCCCCAGCTATCACATAGGTTTCTGGGTTGAACTTGGTTGTATGAGGATGTGTGATGTCATCACAACTCTCTCCTGTGGCTTTTGCTGACAGCTAACTGGATTGCCCAATTTTCAGACTTACAAATATGAGGCCATATTACAAATCTAGAAGCAACTGTTTTACCTGAGTTCTGAATTTACAAATTCTCTATACTTTACAATCCAAAGAGTATATTAAGACTTTGTTAATCATACACTTTCTAATTATAGTTTGATCATTAAGATGTTTAAATTTTGTTGTTGTTTTTCTTACACAGAACAAGGTGGCTTAGATTTAAAGGCAGATTTTGAGACACATTTTGGCATTGCTCACACTCGCTGGGCAACCCACGGAGTACCAAATGCTGTGAACTGTCACCCGCAACGATCAGATAAAAGTAATGGTAGGTAGATTATGTTAAAAAGAAAGGTGCTGGGGGGGGAGGGCTTCTAGTATCCTGGCCCCACTGCTGGACCTCCTGGTGGCACCTGGTATTTTTGGCCACTGTGTGACAGAGTGTTGGACTGGATGGGCCTTTGGCCTGATCCAACATTGGCATCTCTTATGTTCTTAAATCTGGGGCTGCATTTGAATCAAACTTCCCAGAAGCTACATCTGAAATATTTGTGCATTTTAGTCAGGAGTGACTTCATGAGAAAGACATTTTTACTAACACAGTGGAATTTGGTCATTTTTGCCAAGGTGCAGCCCCGGCATATCTGAAACATGACAGTCTGGGTTCAGAAGCTAGAAGCCCTGTAGCTAGGGTTGCGAGACTCCTGGTCTGGCCAGGGGATCCTCCGGTCTTCAGGGCTTCAATCTGCAGCTGGCTGGCAGGGAAAGCCCCACCCCTGAGCAGGGATGTTGCCATGCGATGTCCCTGTCACAATGATATCACCCAGAAGTGACATCATTGTGTTGCCAGTGTTGGGGGTGGTGGTGATGCTCTAGTTTTTGGGTAAACTCTATGGTTTTGAGGGCAAAAATAACCTCACCAGAAAAGCCCAACCAGCAGCCTAGAGCCCCCCGCCAGCAGCCAAGTAGGACTTGGCAACCCTAACTGTAGCACAAGAGTGCCTTTTATAAACAGGCTTCCTTCTACATAAAGTGAGTTGCACAGCCAAAATCCTGGGTCTAATGATGTTGGGAAAGCTTGCTGGGAAAATAAGAAATGGACTGCAAAAATTACACATTGAAATAGGCTATTTATTTATTATTATTTTATTTATTTAAATTTATAACCCGCCCTCCCCGCGAACGGGCTCAGGGCGGCGTACAGATGGGGCCAATGCCCAATACATAAAACATTAAAACTGCATTTAAAAATATTCAATACAACTTAAGTGCTCGCCATAATATCTAACAAGGGAACAGATGACGTCATCAGGATAGTATCCTTAGTGGCCACAGCTCCACGCAGTACCACCATTTTAGCGCTCACGGCGAGTTGGTAATAAAGGGCTAGGACAGATAGTAATAGTCGTAGACAGATGGTAACAGTCGTGGCGGCTCCTACTCAAACGCCTGGCGGAAGAGCTCCGTCTTACAGGCCCTGCGGAACTGTGCAAGGTCCCGCAGGGCCCGGATCTCCTCTGGGAGCTCATTCCACCAGATAGGAGCTGCCACCAAAAAAGCCCTAGCCCTAGTCGCCGCTAATCTGGCCTCCTTGGGACCTGGAACCACCAGGAGATGTTTAGTCCCGGACCGTAGTGCTCATTGGGGAACATATGGGGAAAGGCGGTCCCGTAGAACAGTCAGGTGCTTTTTTAAATTATACCTTTCAGCTTGTGGTTTATTGTCACCTCATTCCTTTTATTGTTCTTATTACCTTCAGAATTTGTCGTTATTCACAATGGGATCATTACAAATTACAAAGACTTAAGGAAGTTTTTGGTAAGTATATAACGAATGAATTACTAAAAAATGTCATTATAACATCTCAAGTGCTGTCTCATGCTCAACTTTTTCATATGGAATTTTTTGGGAAGATCTATCTCTGCCTATCCTTTGCCTTGCCAGAGTACCATGAACATAGTTAAAATGAATTCCAGATATTTCCTCAACTGGTCAGTGCATTTTTTCCTCATCCAGTTCCCTTTTCTCACTGCCAGATTGAGAGAAACTAGGGGAAAAGGGCAAATAACAAGTGGGGTGTGTACGTGTGTAAATGCACTATATTTCCTTAAATTAACCCCTTTAATTTCATCCTGCTGCAATAATATATTTAAATGTATCTAAATGTACCTTTGTTCTTTGACTTTGGAAGCTGGTAAAGCTAATTAGGTATCTTTTTACTTTGGGGTGCAGATTGTGAATTTAAACAGCTTGAGCAAAGAAAAATTCATGTTATATATCTCCTTTAAAACACTGCAGGAGACCAAAGGCTATGAGTTTGAATCTGAAACCGATACTGAAACCATTCCAAAGCTGATCAAGTATATGTATGATAACAGTGAGACGGAAGACATTAGTTTTTCTGCGTTGGTTGAGAGAGTAATTCAGCAATTGGTAAGTGGGGGACTCCCCCCCCCCCATAATATTGATTTAAGCAGTATTGTGTTAAATAAAGTATGATGGGTTGGATCCCATGATCTGTCAGAAGATGGTGCTGATGGTTGTGGATCTTTCCCACATCCCCCTTCCCACAGCAGTCCTTTCAGAGGTTATTCCCAGGGGTGGGACCTGCATGGACTAATAACCACGTGGTTCAGAAGGGTGCAGTGTTAATGATTCCAGTGACCCCAGGAATAGACTCTCCTAACAATGGAGGACTACTGAGGAAGGAGAATGCAGGAAAGATCTTTTGTTGTTGGAACCACAGATCATAGGATCCAACTCCAGATAAGGCAAGAATTACTGATTTTTTTAATATGTTAAAGTAAAGGTAAAGGTTCTCTTGCTCGAAAGCCAGTCGAATCCGACTCTAGGGTTGCGGTGCTCATCTCCGTTTCAAAGCCGAAGAGCCAGCGCTGTCCGAAGACGTTTCCGTGGTCATGTGGTCGGCATGACTAAACACCAAGGCGCACGGAACGCTGTTACCTTCCCACCGAAGTGGTCCCTATTTATCTACTTGCAATTTCTTGCTTTCGAACTGCTAGGTTGGCAGGAGCTGGAACTAGAGACAGGAGCTCACCCTGTCTTGCGGCACCCGGGTCTTGAACCGCTGAACTACTGACCTTCCACAGCCTGCAGGTGTTAGGAACACATTAAAGAAGGAAGATTATTTTCAATGCCCTTTTGAAGCTTGTGTTGTAAGGCAGCATTATGTTATCTGGAAGCTGCCTGTGGGCTAAGGTGAGATATAAACTAAAATGAGATGGGGATAAAAAATCAGTAACAGTTCTAGCAACAGTGATTGTTAGTATTTATAAACCACTTTTTATATTTTTGAAGTATCAGACCATGAGAAAAGAAATTAATATTAAAATTGGGTGTCAGCCATAACAACATTAAAACAAATGGAAACAGCAACTGCTAAAAAGGCTGAGAGGTTCATTGAACCTAGGCTAGGAGAGACTTAATTAAAAGCCAATTGAAATAATTTTTTTATTCTCCTTGGAAAGACAGGTAATAAGGGGATCGTGCACATCCCACAGAAGGGAATTCTGGAGCCCTTTCATTGCATCTTAAATCTTGAGGCATGCTGATCATATGGGAATGGGTGCTCCTTGAAAACCATGGATGTTTAGGACATTTCATTTTCTTCATAATTATCACACAGAAAGAGGCAAAGTGCCACCCCCCCATTTACCATCTTTCTGTTTCTTTTTCCTTGCACATTGTTCAAAGGGGGTACATAATTGTCTAAACATCTCAGATCTTGTAGGAGTCCTGACTCCATATCTTAAAGGTAAAGGTTTCCCTTGCTCGAAAGCTAGTTGAATCCGACTCTAGGGGGCGGTGCTCATCTCTGTTTGCAAGCCGAAGAGCCAGCGCTGTCCAAAGATGTTTCCGTGGTCATGTGGCCGGCATGACTAAACACTGAGGCACACGGAACGCTGTTACCCTCCCACCAAAGCGGTACCTATTTATCTACTTGCAGTTTCTTGCTTTCGAACTGCTAGGTTGGCAGAAGCTAGGGCCAGAAACAGGAGCTCACTCCGTCCCACGGCACTAGGGTCTTGAACTATTGAGCTACAGACCTTCTGGTCTGCAGTTTCAGCATCTTAACCTCTGAGCCACCATATCCTACAGCCAGATTTTTAAGTGAGTATCCCATTGGTCTTTAGCACAAATAATCCCCTCAACTCTGTTGAAATCAGAGGAGTCTCACTGTGTTCAGTGGGACTTTCTTCCTTGTATATGTACATTAGATTGCTGATTGGCAGGCTGAATGTATTTTTGAACTTTTATTTTGCTGTGTTTTATTGGTGAAAGTGACTTTCACTGAATAAAGACTGACAAAGGGACTTTTGGGAAGAGAGTGCAGCAGGCTAAAATGTGAACACACACATTTCTTTCAGTATTCTTATTACCATTCCACCTTTTCATTTATTTTCTTTATTTTATTTTCTTTTTCCTTCAGGAAGGGGCTTTTGCACTGGTTTTCAAAAGTATCCACTATCCAGGAGAAGCTGTTGCTACCAGGTTGGTAAAGGGGTTTTGTGTACAACAGTATCTGTCTGTGTGTGGTGTGTGTACGTGTGTGTGTAATACAAGTGGGGTATGTATCTGGTGAATTTTCCTAATCAAGGACTAGTCTATAAATTCACATACAATGGGATATGCACAGGAAAGATTCCCCAATGGAGTGGGTCTCTCTCTCTGAAGCAGCAGTAGTTATGGCTCCCACATATAGCTACCTTGAGCCAAGAGGGAAAGCAGGGTACAAATATTTTAATAAATAAATTACAAATTTCCCTCATAAAATATTTGTAACTAACTTATCTGTGATTCCACTATTTGACAGAAGGGGGAGTCCTTTACTTATTGGAGTCCGCAGTGAATCTAAGCTTTCCACTGAACAAATTCCCGTCTTGTATAGGACATGTAAGTTGATAAAGCTTTACAATTATAAATGTGTTTTTAAAAAGTGAAATATAGGGCAGTTCATCTAATGAGCAGGTCATCAGCTATCCCAGAGTTAGCCATTTTGCTATTTTTATACTATGCAGGAACCAACAGAAAATGGTTCCTTGTTGGTGAAAACGATAGGCTGAAAAATTACATAAGAAACCATAGTTCATTTTAAAATACTCTATTGATTGTATTTATAAACATGTAAGTTTATAAGCACTGAAAACACTGGAAGTTAAAGTATATAAGAATATATCCTAAAGGAAACTTGATATTCTCATAAATACTTGGGCCCCACATTTGAACCAGCATTACACACTCTCAGCCTATGTATAGTTTTCCCTCACTGAAATCAACAGAAGTCCTTAATCTTGGCTGAATCATAGGCTGTGGTGACACTGGCAGCTTGGCGCGATATGGTGCCGCTTCTGATTGTTCTGGTTTAAAGTATTGCAGGGCATATCACCCGGACAGCACACCCTGCTGAGGGTTACCCACGCAGACATCCCGTGGTCAAGCATCCACATTACTGCAGTGCCTCAGCCAGAGTGTGCTGCCCAGAAAATTTTCAGAATGCATGTGCACACGTGCGCTCATGCGTACACATCTGTGTGCGTATACACACCTGCACTCAAGCGCATGTGCATATAGGCAAAAAATAATAATTAAACCCTCCCTAGCAGCAGGAACGGCAGCTCAAGCGCATGTGCATATAGGCAAAAAAAAAATTAACCCCTCCCTAGCAGCAGGAACGGATTTGCAAGTTCACACTGCCAAGTCCATTCTGCGCATGCTCCCCCATGTTCAGACATCCAGCCATGTGCAATGAACGCATGGGGAACCAAAAACACCACTTGTAATGTGGTACCTTTTTAACCCAGCTCCAAGTCGTCCTATGACGGGATGAGTATGCTGGAGGAACGCCTGACAGATGTGGCTGTGTGACTGTGCCCATTTGGTCCGGAAGGGAGGGGTGGCTGCATCAGGCCAAACTGTTCATGTGATCACAGCCATAGTATTTCCTTAGTGAGGTAATTACCATAATTTCTTTGTAATTCCTGTGATGTACAAAGTTTTTAAAAAACACAGTTTTCTGCTAGTGGCATTCTCTGTGTGTGTGCATTTTACTCATGCATTTTTGGTTTTTGATAGGTAACATTGAAAATGTAAAGAATATATGTAAAACAAGAATGAAAAGACTAGACAGTTCTACCTGCCTTCATGCTGTTGGAGATAAAGCGGTTGAATTTTTTTTTGCTTCAGATGCAAGGTAACTGAAGAGATGTCCATTGTCTTAGCAATAATGTTATGCTGCTTGGCTGGTTCTTGAACCTAACCTTGTAATTTAGTAAGAAATGTGATCCAATAGGAACTGTCAGGCTGCTGTTGGCCAAGTCTTCTGAGCAATCCAAGTCTGTGTATGCTATTCTGAAGCTTTGTATCCTACTATCCTTAGACAGTGATCAGGGATTGAATAATATACACATTGGATGATATACAAATATGCCTGTTATTAATCCTTCACACTTAAGTAGAACAAATTTATTTTCTTGGAAATTCTGATTACTTTTACACTCATTCTGGAACTGCCATCATCTGTAAACTGTTTTGGCCGAGAACTCAAATGACGTTGATGGCAGTTCACTCCATTCCTGTGCTTCCTCTGTCTACTCTCATGTCTTTTCCATGTCATGACATAGCCAGTGTAGTGGTTAGAGCAGGGGTGTCAAACATGCAGCTCGGGGGCCGGATCAGGCCCCCAGAGGACTTCTATCAGGCCCACAGTGGAACTGGCTGTCTTCTGCTTCTGCTTCCAGTTCTGTCGCTGCTGCATCACCATAGGTTTGCAGCTTGCAGATACACACCTGAACAGCATACTCAAGATTGCAACAGCACAGACATTTTGATGCAAAAATTCAGAGCAAGAGGTGTCAGTTACCAGACACTGTTAAATAAACAAAATATTGCAAGAGTGCTAATGTTTTAAGCATGTTTTTATTTCAAGTATAAAAAAACCCTTTCTGTTTGTGTCCTTTATAAAGTTTATATCTCCGCTACCTGGCATTACATTTTATGACGCACATGGCCCAGCCCAACAAGGTCTCATTTATGTCAGATCCGGCCCTCATAACAAATGAGTTTGACACCCCTGGGTTAGGGGGTCAGACTAGAATCTGGGACACCTAGCAAAAAAAAGCTGATAATTAATTGATTCATGAACACTGTGGCTGCTTGAAAACAGAATAATTAATTAGGCTGTAAAACATAGGGACAAAAGGGAAATTGTAGGGAGAAGTGAAATGTGCTCAGTAGGACTTTTTTCTGAGTACCTGTATAGTAGAGTTTGGCCTGTGGGAATAGCATTGCTGAATTTATGTAGGAAATACAGTGCTGTATAACGTGCCTAGAACTGGCTTTAAAAGGAACGGCTGACAAAAGTGCCCTACTGTGAAAAAGTATCTCTGATTCTCCTGTTTGCTTCCTTTTCCTCAAAAAAGTGCTATCATTGAGCACACCAACAGAGTCATTTTTCTAGAAGATGATGACATTGCAGCAGCGGCTGAAGGGAAACTTTCTATTCATCGGTTAGAACGTTCAGCTAGTGATGACTCATCTCGAGCCATACAGACCCTGCAGATGGAACTGCAGCAGATCATGAAAGGTAAAGGCAAGCAGGCAGGCAATTAAGCTAGCTCAAGAGCATATAAAGACATCCTTTCTCTAAATGAACCCACAGATCTTCCAATTCATACCATAACCACAGTAAAAACAGCACTGGAGCCTGGCAGAAAGGGGGGGGAAAGGAAAGTGATATGTACACTATTAAATATTTGAATATCACTTCTGGAAAGTGGTGCTTCCAAGTCTGTGTAATAGTCCTTTGCATATCAGAGTCATCAAATTTACATGTGTTGGGATACATATTTCAAGCAATATCATTGGCCCCATTTTAGCTGTTGAATTGATTTGGTGGAAGTGGTGTTCAGTCACTCCAGAATGTTAAATTCTCCCTCATTTGGGTATGTCACACCTCTTATTAAAGAGGTTTTGAGAAATTTTTGACTAATCATAGTTCCTGTTTAGGAAGATTAAATAAGTCGAATTAAGTAAATGGACCGAATCCCTTCTTCAACTGTCCTGTAATCTTCCACTGGCAGCTATTTTATTTCCTGTTGACTTTGTGTCCCTGGTGATCTGTTCTAAATATCATACATGTTTAAGATGTGATGATGATGATGATGATGATGATGATGATGATGATGATGATGATGATAGTAATAATAATATCACTAAGAAACTTATAGCTTATTTTTTGTGGAAATAGGCAACTTCAGTGCTTTCATGCAGAAGGAGATATTTGAACAACCAGAATCTATTTTCAATACCATGAGAGGAAGGGTGAACTTTGAGACCAACAGAGGTAACTTGGCGGGCATCCTTGTAATTCCACAAAACATTACCTCACTCTGCATCAGAAACCTTAACTGATCTAAAGTTATCCTCCTTTGTGTGTGTTTGTGTGGAAACTGCAGTTGTTTTGGGAGGCTTGAAGGACCACTTGAAAGAAATCAGAAGGTGCAGACGATTGATCATTATTGGCTGTGGGACCAGTTATCATGCTGCTGTCGCCGTAAGTTCCATATGCTTTGAATGTCTTACAGATGTCTAGGAGAATTTTCTGAACTATGGAACTGGTAGTTTTTGAAATAATCTTCTAATATTCCTTGCTGTATCTCCATACTGCAAATGCATCACACACTTGTTTGTTTATTTAAAAGATTTTTAGATTTTTAGACTGCTTCCAAGGCAATGCACAAAATAAAAATGACATACGAACTATATAGACCAGATAAAATAAACAATCAGTTGACTGCCATATCATTACAGACTCGTCAAGTGTTGGAAGAGCTGACTGAGCTACCTGTGATGGTGGAACTTGCTAGTGATTTTATGGACCGAAATACTCCTGTATTTAGAGATGATGTATGCTTTTTTACCAGCCAGTCAGGTGAGTTGTATTCTGCTTTATATTGTTCATCTTGGCCTAAACTAATTCTTATAGAAAGAGCATGGGTCACTAATGGAAGCTTTTTGTCATTTTATTCTAGATCCCTCATGGTTTAGTTACTGCTCTAAGCAATCCTGATTGTTGCCACTTTCAGAACCACTCTGAAATAAGTTTTTCACTCTCAAAAGCAAGACCAGGCCAGTGTAATTTCAAACTGGGGCTTAGTTTATGTAACTGCTGTGAGTTCACCCCTTTCTTTATACATTGATTTCTGGGTGCATTCAGTCAAGAGCTGGCAGATGTGTGAACCTATGAACACCCACACTATTAATAAATAGGTTGTCTGAAATCTGCATACGAATAGTGTGACCTGTTTTAATATATGTTGTTCCATATTGTTTAAGTTGCTTTTATATTTAATAATGTGTTGTATTTTTATGATGTCTTGATCTGTTTTGTGATCTGTCCTGAGCCCGCTTGTGGGGAGGGCAGAATATAAATTGAAACAAACAAACAAACATATAAATAAATAATAAATAACAAAAGGAAACACTTCTTTACTCAAAGAGTAACTGAATTGTGGAATTCAGTGCCTGTGGATGTAGTGATGGCCATGAGAATTTGTGCGTAGAAAATTTGTGTGTAAAGTGCCCTCAAGTCGCTGCTCACTTATGGTGACCCTAGCAAGGGGCTTTCAAGGCAAGTGAGAAGCAGAGGTAGTTTGACATTGCCTTCCTCTACAGAGGCTTCCTTGGTGGTCTCCTACACAGGGCTCGCTGTTGTTGCTGGTGGCGGTGGGGGAGAAGCCTTGGCAGCTGGGAGCCGCGGCCATTGCTGTCGGCTGGGGAGGAGAAGCCTGGTGGGCCCAGTGGCTAGGAACTGCGCAGGGCTTGCTGCCGTTGCTGCTGGTGGCAGTGGGGAGAGAAGCCTTGGAGGGCCAGCAGCTGGGAGCTGTTGTTGGTGTGTGGGGGGGGGAGAGGCCTGGCAGGCCTGGTGGCTAGGGGCCATGCAGGGCTCGCCGCCGTTGCTACTGGTGGGCCAGGTGGACTGCCTGCTGGGCTCAACTGTGGCCGCCGCCTCCTCTTCCACATGGAGCTCCTGCTGCTTCAGCAGTCCGGCCACCCAGGAGCCGCGGGGAATACTCCCCCCTGTGAGTATTGCGGGTCCCACTAATTGTTACGTTCTAATATGAGCTGTAACACCTTCCCATCATTTAGGAAAAAAACTTTGTGCATAAGGAGAGCTGTGAATTAAGGGCTCCAAAAGAGCTGTTAAATGTCATTTAGCAAAACAAAATTCAGGCATATCAAAAGAAATGTAAAATATGTTATGACCTATAATTTACTTAATTATAACTAGGAAGTAAATGGGAGTTAGGGTTCCTAACTTGAAAGTTATGGGGCTGTATTGATATGAACTGATATTGTACTGGCAGCCTTTTAAAGACAGTTATAAGCAGGGTATGACTAATAAACTCTGTCCCTGGGTCACAGCATATGTTCTTCTTCTTCTTCATCATCATCATCATCTTCAATGGTACAGTGATATTGTACCCCCAAGTATCTTCATAGTCTCTTTTAGCAATTGCAGAATAGCCAAAAGAGAGGTTGACCTGAGATGTGTACCAACTTTTTTTCTAGAATAAGAACATGGAGAACTGTTCCCATTGAAGATATTTTGGGCTCCCCCCCCCCGTTAAATCAGTTTGAAGCCTTCCTCTCTTATGTCTTTGTCATTTTTGCTGCTGCCTTTTCTCTTCGCTAGTACTAACAATGGACATTTTCCTACAGTTTAGACAATGAGGATGTTCCAGGAAATGGAAGTTACATTTCAAGTGGACGTTACAGTTGTTCCCAAATACTCCATTCTACCTATTTAAACTTGCATTTCAAAATTTTCATAAAGTTTCATTGTTGCCATGATTGAGTCACATTTTCACCACAAAAAAACAATACGGTCATGAAATGCCTTCTGTCTTTTCCCTCAATGAAACAGTAAGCTGAGGTGGGGAGAGTAGCACAGACATCTCCGCCTATTTTGGAGGATCTTCTCATGTAGGAATGAGTAGTACCTTTCCAGCCGTATTCTTGTCTGTTTGGAACAGACCGAGATCAATTCATAGCTAATTATCAATGTCATTGTGATCTTCTACTGAAGGTGAAACTGCTGATACACTGATGGCCTTACGATATTGTAAGGATCGTGGAGCTCTGACAGTTGGAATTACGAACACTGTTGGAAGTTCAATATCCAGAGAGACAGACTGTGGTGTACACATCAATGCAGGACCTGAGATTGGTGTGGCAAGCACGAAGGTAAGTTGTATTTACCTGTAGCTGGTGCTGTTCTCTCCTTGTCCTAAACATATTCACTGGCATATCTGCATTGCATTGCCAGCATAATATCCCCGGATTGTGCCACATCATGTTTTGCATTACTGGGTTGATTAATATGCAACAACAAACCAGGGTTTGGTTGGTTGTGCCTTGGCCTCATGCTCACATACTCCTTCTCCCCCTCCTCATGTACTTGAATTGTTTTGAACTTTTTCTTGTTTAACAAGCAACAGTTTGCTTTAACATTTGCACTGGGAAGCTATAATTTGTGCAAACAGTAACTTACCTGACTGCAGTGTAACAAGAAACTATGGTTTGCCAGAAAAAAGGAAATACAGAAGGCAATCTAATACAGGGAGGAGGCAAGCTAAGGTTTGGTGTTGCATCTGAATGAACCATTGTGTTGGCAGAAAGCAGGGAGCCAATTTAACTGATGTGCTTTCTTCATCTTCAGGCTTATACTAGCCAGTTTGTATCTCTAGTAATGTTTGGTTTGATGATGTCTGAAGACAGAATTTCCTTGCAACACAGGAGACAAGAGATCATAAGTGGGCTACAGTCATTGCCTGGTATGCATTTATTTACTATTCAAATTACTGTGGAATGTACCAGGATACCATATGAGAGGGTTAAATTAAAAGACCTGATGTGCAGCTTGTACAGTTGCATGTGCCTGATATTTCCTTTCAGCATCTCTCTCTCTCTCTACTGAACCTGTTAATTGCTTCACAACTCCCTAGAGAATACAGAGGCCAGTGTAAAAGCAGTTTTGGGGGTGATCTGATTAGGGGTCTTTTCGTAGAAAAAGAGCTGCAGGAGCTCATTAGCATATTGTATGCTAATGAGTTACTAGACAATTAACATATGCCACGCCCCCTGACATTACCGGAAGTGATGTCAGAAGGGTAAGCAAAAGGGGGGAGGCATCTTCAAAAGCCTCCCCTCCCCTTCCCCTTCTCACTAGAGTTGGGCCACAGGAGGAGGGAAGAGGGAAGGAAAGAAGGAAGGAAAGAGGTGATAAAAAGAGAGAAGGAAAGAGGGAAAGAAAGAGAAGAAAAGAAGGAGGGAA